CCCCCCCCTGCTTTTGATCCCATTCCCCACTCCACCCCCACAAAATGTCTCTGGTATATGGCTGTTCATTATTCTTATTATTTTCTCGCCTGGTCCATTATACTCAGCAGAGTATTTCAGTGGATCTATCTGCTCTGCTCCCCACTCTGTCTCTGGTGAATCCTCTCGCCACTCTTGCACCTCTAGCCTGTACCCCAATCTGTATGCATAAATAAATAAATCTTTTCTAAAAAAATTCACTTCCAGTAGACAGAAGGACCATAACCTAGTTAGAACAGGGGCTCTGGAGTGACATAATCTGGGTTGAAATCCAATTCTTATTTGTTAGGGGACCTTCAGCAAATTATATATCTTCCCTAGGCTTTAATTTACTCATCTTTAAAATGAGCTAATAATACAAAGGGTAGTTGAGGGGGTTACAAGACATGACCCACGAGATGCCTGTGACTGACAGTCACTGACTGGCTCCTGCATTCCACAGACATTTGTCAAGTATCTGCTTTGTGTCAGAGGTTCTCTGACACTGGGGACACACCAGCAAACAAGCTTAAGTTTGCTTTCTGCCCTCATGAAACTTACATTTTCATGAAGCAAATGTAAATAAGCAGCAAAATAAATGAGGAAAATATATAGTATGTTAGACAGTGACAGGAATCTCCGAAAGTTTAAGTTCCCTTTTAAATTAACAATCCCACCTTCAAATTAATTCTCATTTCTCTCACTTGACTATAATAAGCATTCAGTATAAACCAGGCTGCTTCTGAAAAAAATTCTCTTTGCTTAGAAATTTCTTTAGCCAAATATCCAATTTCATTGTTCACAACTTCTCTTCCACAAAACACTAGAATACAAACACAATTCAGCCAAGCTCTTTACCACTTTATAAAAACAATGGATTTCTTCCAGTTTCCCGTATGTTCCTCATCTCCATCTGAGACCTCACTAGAATAACCACCATCCATATTCCTACCAGCAGTCTGCTCAGTACCATTTAGTTATTCTCTGAAATGACTGAGGCCTTTCAACAACTCTCTTTTTCTGTACCCTCAGAAGAATTGCCCCTAAAAGTCCATTCAGGGTCTCCCTGGTGGCTCAAGGGGTTAAGTCTCTGCAGCCACTGCAGCATGAGTTCAATACAGGCCAGGGAGCTGACCCACCTGGGGCAGCAGACCTCTCCTGTCTTGTCCACTGCTCCCCTCAGCAATATATTGCAGTAGATCTATTCTGTCTCTGGTGAATCTTCTCACCCCCAGACACCTCTGGCCTGTACCCCAGTTCTTGGATGCATAAAGTAAATGCTTAAGAAAACAAAAAGTCCATTCACAGCATGAAGGCTTTCTCTAACATGTACCTCCAAATTCTGCCAGTCTCTGCTCATTATTCACTTCTGAATCTGCTTCCACATTTTTAGGGTGTTTGTTGTAGTATCACTTTCACCTCCCAGTACTAAGTTTCTGTCTTAGTCTGTCTGCTCAGGCTGTTATTACAAATGTAACCAACTAGGCAACAATTAAGCAGAAATTTAGGACCTCCCTAGAGGGGTTAAGTCTCAACATTGCCATTGCCACCATCTTAGCGGGCCTGATTTCTACCCAGGCAGACCTTTCCTGTCTTGCCCACTGCTCCTCTCAGCAGTGTTATTTTACTCCATTTGCCTATTGGGCTCTCCACTCTGCCTCTGATGAATCTTCTCGCCTCCTCCTGCACCTCTTCCCTGTACCCAGTTCTTCTATGCAAAAGAAATAAAATCTCACAATAAAGGAATAACTAATTCTTTTTTTAAAAGAATCAAATTTATTCCTCCAAGTTCCAGAGCCTGGAAGCCCAAGATCAAGGAGGGCCCTGTCCAGGGTGCCTTCCCACTGTGTCTCACACTACAAAACGGGGTAGGGGGCTCTCTGGAGCCTCTTATAGAAGACTCTAGTCCCGTTCTGAGGGCTCCTCCTTTATGACCAAAGCCTCTTTAAGGTTCCACTTCCTAGTTCTATCATCATCAGGGATTAGGATTTCAACATATAAATTCAGGGAAGGGGGAGTATAAGCATTCAGATCATAGCAGCTTGACTACTAGCACATGCTAGTAGTTTGATCTTGAACAAATTATGTAACCTATCTATGACTCAGTTTCCTCAATTACAAACTGGGAACAAAAATAACACCCATTCCCTACAGGTGTGATGAGGATTAAAAGAGATAATGCACATGAAGTACTTTTTTTTTTTTTTTTTTAAGATTTATTTATTTATTCATACAGAACTGGGGTACAGGCCAGAGGCTCAGGGACGGTGAGAGGCTTCACCAGAGACAGAGCGGGGAGCAGAACAGGCAGATTGATGAAGCACACTGCTGAGGGGAGCAGTGGGCCGGTCAGGAGAGGTCTGGCTCGCCATGTGGTCTCCTCCGGGGCAGGCGGCAGGCGGGAATCGAACTCATGCGGAAGTGGCTTCAGATTCTCAGTGCTGTGCTTTAACCCGCTGCGCCACCAGGGAGGGCCACATGAAGTACTTTTAAAAATTGCCTAGCTTATGGTGAGTGTTCTATAACAAGTTAACTATAATCATTGTGAAAAACCGCACTTCTCCCCATTTCCTACTATTTTCCATAATTCCTCAAAAATCTCCAAGAACATGTCCACAAGCCCATTCCTAAATGTACTTATGGTCTAGGATATGATTTATAAGGACTTGACCACTTAAACTCACTAATTAAAGCTTAGGTGTTCTTTATTTTCTCTCACATCGTTTTTGGCTTAAATTCACTCACAAATTTACCCCCAGGGTCTAGCACAGTGCTTTGTAGTTGGCAGGCGCTCCTAAATTCATGGAATAAAGGTTTGTTCTACCCTGGTGCCATTTGTTCTTCTGATAAGGACTCCCAACAGCATAGCTCTTGACTTTCTTGCTTGCAAATTTGAGTGTATACAGCATTCCTTACACTTCCCATCTCACCACTACTTTCCTGCTTCTTTCTAAACGTCCCCCCCCCCAACCCCCACAGGCTCACTCTCCACTGCTGTTTACAATGTCTGCATCTGATCTTTTTCCAACTAGACCCTTAAAGCTAAACTCCTCAGAGTTAAAGTGAGTCTTATGAGTTCCAGGTAACCACCGAGTACCCAGCATGGAGAACAAAGTCAACACTTAACTGAATCCCCCATAATAGCTCTTAGGCCTTAAAGGTTTTTAATTTCCCCAAACTCTTTGTCCTGTTTCCCTCTGCTTAACATCCTCCTCCCACATTTAGTTCTGTTTCATCCCTCACTAATCCCAAGGAGCGAGCACAAAGAGTCAGGGCACAGGACTAAGGTCAAAGTGGAAGACTGTCTTTTTATGGTGAACTCTATGGCTTCAGATTTTGCTTTAAGCTCATCAGCGACAAATGTTTTTAACAGACGGCAGTTTTGTACCATTTATAGAGAGAAGAGGACATAATCATAAGCTCTGGATGGATGGAGGTGGGCTGATTGGATAAATTGTATGTTGGTGGATAGAAACTAGACTTTTGGTGGTGATCATAATGTAATATAGAGATTTTGACTTATAATGTGCTATACAGGAAACCTATATTTTGTTTTAAACCAATGTTACTTCCCTCAACACTTTTTAAATAAAACAAGACAAAAAACAAATGTATGCTCTGTCAGAGCCAGATGGCCTAACCTCAAACCCTTGTTTCAACACTTACTCGATCCATGATCTCGGGCAAGATGTTTAACCTCTCCCTACCAGAGTGTCCTTGTGTGTAAAAAAACGCACAGAAGGATCTATGTCACACGATTATGGAGGCGCTTAAAAGAGCAAATACTTAGAAAGTGCTTAAATCTGTGCTAAACAAATCCTAAAGAGGTTTTGTTATTGTTGTTTACAATACTACCTACCAGTGCCACAGGAAATCAGTAACCCCAAGGTCACGTAAATTAAACGTATCTTCTGTGACTCATAATGATTGTTGTCAAGAATGGGGCACTTCCTACATGCTCAATTTGCATTATCTGCATTATCTGCGTAAATGTTGACAACAACCTCAAGAGGGAGTTGCACTTAACCTCACTGGAAAATTGAGAAGCACAGAGAGGTTAAGCAATTTTCTCAAGGTCACATAGCCAGCCAGTAGCAAGCAACTTCATTCGTTTATTTTCTGTTTATAATGTGCCTCAGCTAGAGAAAAGCCCAATGGGTACAAAGGTAAACAGTTCAGGCCCCAACCTACAGGAAGTTTCAGTTTCCAGAGAGGGGCGGGGCGCGGTAGGGAATGACGAGTAAACAAAGTTATAACACCGTGTGGTAATTGCTATAATAGAGGCTCACCACAAAAAGTGCTACTGGATCTCAGACCCTGGGACAAGAACAGTACCGAGAGCGTTAAGGGCCCAAAGGGAAGACGTGACAATGACGGAATAAGCAGCTGTCTTTTGACACAGCCAAAGGACTGAAAGGGCTTAAAGATGGAGGCGGAGCGCCGTGTCACCCGCTGGTCTGACAAGTCCCGGCGGGACCGGAAAGGAGTTAAGGAGAGCAGGTGGGCGGGGCCCGCGCGTTGATTGGCAGGGGTGGGACCAGGCTCACTACCCGCCCCTCCCTCCCCCAAGCTCCGGGCTGGCGGGGGTACCGCCTGGGCGAGGGCTGGGGCGCGGGGCCGAGCAGCCTACCCCCTCCCCGGTTCCCTGCCGCGTTCCGCCGGCGGGGCGCGCTGGAGAAGTTGAGCGGCGCGGGAACCCGCCCGGGGGCTGACAGCCGCAAAGTTTGGCCCAAGGAGGA